TCCAGCGCTTCTACCGCCTCAGCGCCCACCTCGACGGGCCCACCTACGCCACCTGCGCCGGGCACCTGCAGGACCTGCTCTGCCAGGTGAGGCGACCCGGGCACTCTCAGGGGCTTCAGCTGCACAGCGGGCTTCCACAGCACAGAAGGCATCAGCCACACAGGGGGCTTTGGCCACACAGGGTGCAATAGCCACACAGGGGGCCTCAGTCCCCAAACGGTGCTTTTGCTACGCAGGGTGCTCAGGCCCAGGCATGGGTGCATTGGTCCATGGGGGTGCATTGGCCACATCTGCAATACTGCGTCCAGTTTTGGGCTCCCCAGTTCAAGAGGGACAGGAAACAACTGGAGAGAGCCCAATGCAGAGCCACTGAGATGGTGAGGGACTGGAGCATCTCCCACACGAGCAAAGGCTGAGAGAGCTGGGGCTGTTCAGCCTGGAGGAAACTGAGGGGGATCTCATCAATGCTCATCAAGGTCTGGGTCAGGAGGATGGGACCAGACTCTGCTGGGTTGTGCCCAGTGACAGAACGAGGGGCAGTGGTCACAAACTGGAACACAGGAGGTGCAACCTAAACATGAGGAAAAACTTCTTGATGTGAGGGTGTCAGAGCATGGCCCAGGCTGCCCAGAGAGGTTGTGGAGTCTCCTTCTCTGGAGACACCCAAAGCCCTGGCCGTGTTCCTGGGTGATCTTCTCTGGTGACCCTGCTGTGGCAGTGGTTGCACTGGGTGAGCTCCAGAGGTCCCTTCCCATCCCAGCCATGCTGTGACTCTCTGACTGGTCCAAGCACAGGCACTTTGGACGTCACAGGGGTGCATAAGCCATCATGTGGGTACAGCAGCCCAGGAATGACTGCATCCACCCGTGGAGGGCTGCATCACCACAGGCACAGGAGCTTTGGATGACCCAGGGGTGCATGAGCTGTGGCATTCATTCCCACGCCCGGCCAGGGGTTCATGGACCACCCCACAGGTGCATCAGCCGTGGCATTAGTGCTTGGGTCCAGGCCTGAGTGCATTGACCCACATAGGGATGCATCAGGGATTAGTGTAGCAGCCAGGCACTGTCAGGAGCAGCTGTCCATCATCAGGTGACCCAGTGGACTTTCTGTTCTTTGGCAGGTGTCTGAAAGAGGAATAGAGATGTTGCTCTGCTTTAATTTATGAGCAGCAGTGCTGTAAGATGGATATCTAGAACGAGAGGAAATGGCCTCGAGTTGCACCAGGGGAGAGTTAGATTGGATATGAGGAGAAATTTCCTTACAGAAAGAGTGGTCAAGCACTGGAAAAGGCTGCCTAGGGAAGGAGTGGAGTCACCATCCCTGGAGGGGTTCAAAAACCATGTGGATGTGGCACTTGGGGACATGGTTTAGTGGCCATGGTGGGGTTGGGTTGATGGTTGGACTGGATGATCTTAGAGGTCATTTCCAACCTTCCCAACTCGGGATAAGGTAGGTTTTTGTACAAGATTACAGCATCCTGAGATGCTTTTAGGGTGTGCCGGGTGCTAACGGTCCTGATGGTGGGTGCAGAGAAATGCCTGAGGATGTGGCTTAGTAACCTGTGTGGTGGCCATCCTGCCCGGGTGAAATTTCCACTCAGGGTTGATGTTCTGTGGCCAGATATGATAACAGGATGATCGCCGAGCAGAGCGTCTGACCCTGTGTGGCCTTGCATGTATGAAAATGCCCCTGAGACAGAGCAGTGGCAGCTCTGTGCCATGCAAGTGTAAATCTTAAATTAATTCAGACAGTGGAGCCTCGTCTGCTGCGCTCAGGTGGGATCAGAGTGGCTTTTAAGAAATCCTGCTCTTAGCGTTTTGCAGGGTTCCTGAAAGCGTGAAGAGAAAGACAGCCCTTTTCCACAACAGTTTCTGGAGATTTGGCTTTTATTTCATCTCACATTGTACTGGAAGCAAAAAACCTTTGAATATATTCCTGAAACATGTCCAAAAGTCCATTTTCGGATCAGAAACCAGTTAGCAGTGGCTGCTAAGCACTCCTTCTGGCTCTGGAAGGGATAAGTAAAGTCTCCTGCATACATCAGACACCCGACAGTTGAAAATTTGTTCAGAAGCAGTCAGATATTTCACTGTGGCAAAAATGATTCACTGAAATACTCTGATGAGCTCAGTGCATCACCAGGCCAGACGTGGCTACGAACCACTGCCTGTGGCCACGCAAGCATGAAATGGAAGTTCAGGCACTGCAAGCACTCCAGAATGCTCTGCTGCCATTCATTCACTCATTATATAGACAATTTACAGCCTAGACCTGCATTAATAAGTGGGTTTCTGTGACTTACTCAGCATGCTTCTGTCTCTTTCCGCTCACAATTTGTGATTTCTCTTAGACGTGATCAAATTATTTTGACAAGCATCTTGTGGGGAGGATTCCTACCTTCTCTTCAGTTGCGATTTGCTGTGTGGTGCTGTTTCTGGTTCTTGCAGAAGGGCAAGTGGGGAAGAGCAGAAACATCCCTCGGTGCTGCCCATAATCCCCCAGCCCCAAAACAGGGTTTCACCCCACCAGAATCAGGCTGAGATTGGGGGAGAGGGGTACTGCAGGGAGACATCCCTGCCTCACATCCTCAACACCCAGGGGTAATTTTTTGGGGGCAGCAGGTCTCAGGGGACGTGTGTGGATGTGGATTATTCTCCGGGAATAGCTGGTTTAAAGGCTTCAGTCTCCAGATGGAGGCAACAGGGAATGTCAGGGATTATGTGAAATTTGGACGCTTCCCTGAGGAGTCCCGTTGCTACCTCCGGGCTGATCGCAGCAGTAAATAAGCCGTTGTTTGATGTGGGTGTTCATCCAGATTCAGACTGTTGCAGATAAATAGCTGCCTCTGAATTCCTGGCACAGATAGGATGGGTTTGGCTAACTTGTCTTAATGCGACTTGTTTTCTTTTCTGATGAGTTTATTTTTGTGGTGCGAGCTTGTTGCAGCCGTAATGAAGTTACTGATCATCTGCCCACTGGTTTCCATCGTCTTTGGACCACACCACAGTTTAAAATGAATGAACAGACCATGTCCTTTGGCAGTGAGAATTTAGATTTGTTAGTGATGCTGGGCTGTGGCCAAGTGTAGAGTTTTTTGGTGTTTCGAGTTAGTGAATGTAACAAGACAATGTGAAGGGTGAAGGACCACAGCGTTTGGAAAGCTGGACATGAGCCACCAATGTGCATCTGCAGCCCAGAAACCAATCCCATCCTGGGCTGCATCACAACAAGTGTGGCAGCATCGAGGGAGGGGATTCTGCCCCTCTGCTCTGGTGAGACCCCACCTGCAGTTCTGCATCCAATTCTAGTACTCCCAACACAAGAAGGCCACTGAAGTGCTGGAGCAGGTCCAGAGGAGGCCACAAAGATGCTCAGGGGCTGGAGCAGCTCTGCTATGAAGACAGGCTGAGAGAGTTGGGGTTGTTCAGCCTGGAGAAGAGAAGGCTCCAGGGGGACCTTATAGCGACCTTCCAGGACCTGAAAGGCGCCTATAAGAAATCTGGGGAAGAGCTGTTCACTAAGTCATGGAGCAATAGGACGAGGGGTAATGGTTTTAAACTAGAAAAGAGCAGATTTAGGTTGGATATTAGGTAAAAGCTCTTCACCATGAGGTAGTAGATCAGTGGCACAGGTTGCCCAGAGGTGGTGCAGGCCCCATCCCTGGAGATATTCAAGGCCAGGCTTGATGGGGTCTGAGCACCCTGATCTGGTACCAATGTCCCTGCTACTGCAGGGTTGGACTGGATCAGCTTTAAAGGTCCCTTCCAACCCAGCACATCCTGTCATTCTATGATTTGATGCAGAATCAGGTGTCAGGTTCCATCTCTTGTGGAATAAAAGCTGGAAAATACTCTGTATACATCTGGAGAATACCCTGGACACGTGCTTGGGTGCTGCCTGGCTGGTGATAGATCTCTGTTCCTCACCGCCAGCGTAATGCCGCTGGAAAGAGCTGTATGCCACCAGGAACGTGGTAAGGAGTGAAGAAGTCATCCACAAGTGATGTTTAAACACACCTGAGGCTGGAGTGAACACCACGCAGTGGCAAAGGGGCAGGGAAACCATCCCTCTGTGCTGGTTTTATTTTCCATCATCACAACTGCAGGGGAAATGCTCCTGCTCTCTCTGTCCCTGGCACACCTTGAGTAACCGAGCCCAGCAGTTACCCAGTCTGCCTGGGTAATTTCTGTGTTTTGTGTCCCGGGCAATCTCCTCTTTACCACATTAATTGCTGCTCATTTGAAGGCATAATAACCTTCATTTTGCGATGAATGGCTTGACACTCCAGGAGGAAAGCTTATTGTGCTCTAATGATCTGTTATATGGCCTCTCAGTTTATTATGGTATGTAATGGAAAATAAGATAAAAATTAAATATTGTGTGTACTTATCAGCTAATTTAAATACTTAAATATCTCGGATGTTACATCTTTACAGCTACTGAATAGTGCTATAATCTGCATTAAGAAATAACTCCCTATATATTTAGAAACAGCTCCCTATATTTTTATTTTAACGAGGCTTTATTTGCTTGGAAAAAATGCCAGCTAGGAATTAAAACCCACAGAATTTATTTAAGAAATAGGCTTTCCTTTCTGACCTTTCTTGCCTAAGTTATTTATCTACTCTGTGAGTACAACTGAGCCTCCACAGAGTCACGTTGCATTATTTGGAGAGCACTTTTGAGATGCTTGTCGGGAAGATGCATTACAACTGGAAAATAGTGTGTGTTTACGACAAGGAAAAGCCCTTGCAAAGCAGAACTGAGTCACTTTGGTCAGTCTGTAATTTACAGATGGTTTCACTGGATTGCAGTGGCTTTTTACATCAAGAAAATATACATCACACTGGAGAATACCTTGAACTGTGAACTTGGTCAGACCTTGGGCACATTTCCAAGGCTGCACCTTCCATTACTGAGCTGCAGCCACTGTGAGTGGACCTGGCCTGGAGATCTGAATCTTCTCTGCTGACTCCTTGGTTTCACTTCTGTGATGAATATGCTGGTTATCTCATAGAGAAAGCCACAGCATCCACAGAAAAGTCTCTTTTTCCCCAGCACAGTCTACTGGGGTGGTGTAGCAGGATATCTGTCATCACTGGTTTTCTTGAGGAAGGGCTGTGGTTGAAATAAATGAAGAACAGCATGAGGAAGCCAGCTTTCAGCAGCAGTATTAAAGATCATTTCCGTGAATGCTGAGATAAACCCCCTTCTTTTCCTCTGTTAATATCTCTTCAGAATAAACCACAACATCTGTTGTAATTAAGGTGAAATTTCTCCAATTAGTGTTGCTGCTCAGCTGTTTCAAATCTGGTCCTACAAATGGCTTGAGGCTCTTTCTCTGTCCCTCTAGGAATGCTCTCCATATGCAGCGCACTTGTACGACGCCGAGGATCCCTCCACCCCCGTGCGAACGATACCGGGGCTTTGCCAAGACTATTGCCTGCAAGTGTGGCAAAAATGCCGCTCCATTTTCCGCTACCTCTCTGCAGACCAAGAGTTAATGGCGCTGGAGAACAACGTGGCAAAATTCTGCCGCTACCTGTCCTTGGAGGACACAGACTACTGCTTTCCACACCTTTTGGCCAACCAGAACCTTAACCAAAACCTGGGCCTGGTGACCGCCGACGCGGAGGGCTGTCTGCAGCTCTGCCTCTTGGAGGTCGCCAACGGGCTGCGCAATCCCGTTGCGATGGTGCACGCCAACGACGGCACCCACAGGTTCTTCGTCGCGGAGCAGGTTGGCCTGGTGTGGACCTACCTCCCCGATCGATCCAGGCTGGAAAAGCCCTTTCTGAACATCAGCCAAGCCGTGCTTACCTCACCTTGGGAAGGAGACGAGAGAGGTTTTCTAGGTATTGTCTTCCATCCTAAATTCAAATTTAATGGTAAAGTGTATGTCTACTATTCGGTTGAAGTTCGTTATGAAGAGAGAATCCGAATCAGTGAGTTCAGAATTTCTCCTGCTGACATGAATACATTGGACCATGGTTCTGAAAGGTATTGTACACCCGTTTCTCTGGCAAATGTATTTAAGATCTCAGAGGGCACCTTGTGCGCTTTTAAAAGCTATTAATGAATAAGACTTATTTAGTTTAATATTGTTCTTGCATTCCAGCATGTTAATGTTAGTCCAAATCCGTGTCCAGCATATTGAGATAGATACGCACGTCCTCCATGGGTGAACTGCAAGTTAAAACATTTACATTTCCCAGTTCTGGTATGTCAAAAGATTTAACCAAGCATTGATTAAACATTATTTACAGTTAGTAGTTTGGGGTTAGTTTGTTGCTTGGAGTTTTTTTTTATTTTGGTGTAATGTATTTTATTTTTTATTTTGGTGTAATGATTGCCCTTTAGAATAGACTTCTGCAAAGCATGAGTGGAATTCACTCCGAAGCCAAAACTTTCCAAATCAGTACAAACAAACCAGTTTGGCCCCACGTTTCTTTCTCTGAATGACATCTCAGCCCTGTGATATTACAAACGTAATATCAAATTAAAGAAAATGCAAGCCACCGTGCTATTACTGAGTGCATTTTGATTGGAAATTCTATCTGTTTGAGCCCGGTCCTGCAGTTGATCCACATTAATACACACAGATAAAGAGAGGTCAGCCTATGGATTTATATAGACTTACAAATTTATAACCTGCTGCAGAACCACATGATAAAGCCACTGTTTTAGGAGATCCCTGAATATTAATGTGAAGATTTTTGCTGTGAGACACGGGCTATATTAGGTGCTTTCCAAATACTCAGCAATGGATGATTCCAGCTCAAAAATGCATGCAGCCCTATGGTAGAATAAATAAATATAGAAAAATAAATAATTATAAATAAATAATTATGTATTGCTTAATAAAGCAATTATAGCAATTGAGTGTAAGCAGCGCTGTAGGTGACAAGCAAGGGGAACTGAAACGTGGTCCTCAGGAGCGTGAAGCGGCAGATGTCAGGGCCCACGAGCTGTCTTGTTTAAAAATCCTCAGGCTCTCCATTTGTTACATTTCCTGTGCTCACTGAGCTGATGGTTGGTGTGGCAAAAGCTTAAGAAAACAGAATTGTGGTCCCGTAGTGCTTGTGTAGGCGCAGGTCCCACTGACTTCATCCTGAGATGCTGCCCGAGAGGGAGCTCAGACCAACACATGGTGTGCATTGCCGCGGAGGGAAGGCGTTTGTCTGCTTGTCCGCAGGGTTTTGCTCAATATGTTTTGGGTTTTTTCCAGTTTCTTGGAGGGGTTGAGGAGGATTCCCCTTTGTGTCCGTACGGGATCTTCTGCTGGCTGTATCTGTGCATTTGTGCAGAGTTTCCTTATCTCAGAGGTGGTGACATTTAACTGCAGGTGACAATAATTACACAGTTGGGTGCCTTCCCACAATTTACAGTCTGATCACGGCTGTAACTATCAGTACTTTCAGAAAGGAAAATGGTATAAATGATTATTATAATTTGGTTTTGCAGCTATTAAGAGGCACTGTCAGCACAAAATCTGGATTTTTTTTTTTTTAGAAGCTGGAGCAAAATAAACTTCAATTATTATACCTGGGAACCTCCGCTGCATGTGTTCATGGCTTTACCTTTCTATAAAGGTATACGTTATGTATTTCACCCTTTCCTTACCATGAAAGGGATGCCAGGTGCATAAAATAAGCAGATAAAAGAGAGAGTTTGGCTTCAAAATTAATATAAAGGTTGTTGCTACTGCTTTGAATAACCTTTGTCAATGTGTTGATTCGTTGGTGGAGCCTCTTTTAACCACTCTTTAAACTCATAAAGTCCCGTGTATGTAATTCTCATGTAAGGATTCTTCTCTCTTTTAAGAGTTTAACTGTTCCTTAATGTCTGAAAAGTTTTAGGTTCGCCTCGAAAGCGCCTGTCAGGATTGTGCCCAATGCTGTACAGATGGACCGCAGTCCTTTCTCTTGCAGTTTGCAATCGGATTTAAACTTTAAAAAAAATAAATAGAAAAAAACCCAAGAAGTTTAACCAGGAGCAAGGAAGAACCAGAGGAAAAGTGCAGTTAATTACAAGTATATTCTGTATTGTGATTTCCCACATTTTCCCTATTGCACAACTCGGTGTTTCTGTAAGCTGGAAAATATGTTGGAATTGTTTAAGGGTAGAAAATCAGTTATGCCCAAGCAAAATTCAGTAGCGTGGATGTAGAGGAATTTGCATCAGAACCCATCTGTGGCCGTTTCCACAACACTGGGGTTGCTCTGCCCTTGGCTTTGGGCTCATGCAGTCGGTAACACCTCCTCCCTGCTTTCCCTTAGGATAATCCTGGAAATAGAAGAACCCGCGTCCAACCACAACGGAGGAGAGCTGCTCTTTGGAGACGATGGGTATCTGTACATCTTTACTGGAGACGGAGGCATGGCTGGGGATCCTTTTGGGACCTTCGGAAACGCCCAGAACAAGTAAGAGCCCCGAAAACCTTGTGTGCGCCGTGTGTCCCTCCTGTCATCCTTGGGTTGAGGAGAGAAAGTTTGACCGAGGTCTTGTTTTATGTCTTTATTTTCTTTCCTTTCTTCTCCAAAACAGATCAGCGCTGCTGGGCAAAGTGCTGCGGATCGACGTGAACAACAACGACCGCGGGCCCCTGTACCGAATCCCTCCCGACAACCCTTTTCTCGACGACCCTACGGCTCGCCCCGAAGTCTACGCCTACGGAGTGAGGAATATGTGGCGCTGCTCTTTCGACAGGGGCGAGCCCCAAACCAAGGAAGGGAAAGGGCGGCTCTTCTGCGGAGACGTGGGGCAGAATAAATATGAAGAAATCGACATCGTCGAGAAAGGGAAGAATTACGGCTGGAGGGCGAGGGAGGGGTTCAGCTGCTACGACAAAAAGCTTTGCGCCAACTCTTCAATGGGTAAATAGATGCGGTCTCTCAATTACCTGCATCTCCCCCCGTGCACCGTTATTTTTAATTCCTGCCTTCAAAGCCTGGCTGCCTGGTGGAAAACGTACACTTTTGAGATGTAAATCTACATGGTCTCAGTCTAGAAGAGAACTGACTTGGGGATAAATACTGAAAGTCCAAATACTACCATTTTTGAGTTAGGAGGAAGATGAAACCTGCTAGCAGTTGTTTTTATAGGCAGTCGGTGGTGTTAGTCAAATTACTTGGTGATTCTGTGATTTAGAGGGATGGTTTCATCTTTTCCACATAAAACAAGCTTTCTTGCAGAAGAGGAACTGTATTTTTTTCCAGAACTCACAAGTAGTGTCCTTATTTGGACCAAAAAAATGAAACATATTGTGTAAGATGGTCAACCAGTACGCACTCTGCCTGCTTTGCAAGTAACTGAATGTATAGTGTATTTTGGTTTCATATATA